TTGCGGAACTGAGGATTGAACTCAGGCCTTTGCGCTTGCCAGGGAAGCACTTATTCCACTGAGCCTTCTCCCCCGCCCCAGGGATTATTTATTACCAAACATACTTTACCAATTCTGACAAACACAGACGCCACCTCCCTGTTTTTTGCTCTGAAATCATTCTTTCTTTTTTCTTTTCTTTTCTTTTTTTTTTTTTTTTTTGTATTTTACGGAATGGTCTACAGGGTGTTCAGGGTCTCACTACTAGATCGGACTAGTAGTGATCTGTCTGTTTACAGCCTCCCAAGAGCTGGGATTACAGGCATGCGCCACCAAGCCCAATCTCAATTGTTGTCTCAGCATGCTCCCCCGGGGTGGGGCCAGCACAGCAGGCTGGGGGATGGAACCCCCAGCCCCTGAGCCTGCTGGCAGGTGCTTTAATCTGCTGAGCTATTTGGCCAGCCCTTGAAATCTTTCTATCTTTTCCTTTTCACACATGTCTGTCATCATTTTCACTGCCTGGATCAGTGCCTGGCACAAAGTAGGTGCTCAATAAGCGTTTGTTGCATAGACTTATTATTATTATTATTATTATTGCATAGACTTTGAAAGCTTCAAGCTAGTTGCATTTTACTTCCACAGCACTGACTTCCTGGGGCTCCCCACTGTTTAAAGTGTTCCCATCCAGGGGAGAGACAGGCTTGCAACCACAAGGATACCTGAATAGGACAGGTGTTGATGGCAGGGAATAGAGGGTACTGGTGACTCCAGTGGGACAGTCTGGTTCCTGGAGGAAGAAACTTCCATGTGTCCAGAGGCAAATAAGAAGGAAGGTGTTAAAGACACTGGGAAGGCAGCATGTGCTCTTGGGGGACTGGCATTCGGAGTCTGAATTGTTTGGCCCTCCATTTTCCAGCCCTGAGGGCCTGAGCCCCCCTGTGCTGACCCAGTCTTTGCCCTTTCCATGCAGGGACTCTGATTCACAGCTGATTGGGGTGCAGTGGTCTAGACTGAAGAAAGTCTTCCTGAGGGGAGGCTTAATCTGAGTTGAGATTTGAAAGACAAGGTTGTACTGGCAGCTTCCTGGGTAGTTTCACAGCTATAGTACATTTTATTTTATTTTATTTTACTGAGGATTGAACCCCAGGCCTTTAAACTGACCTACATACCTAGCCCTTTAAAATTTTTTTGATACAGAGCCTTGAAAAGTTACTAAGTTTCAGGCTGGGGAGACAGCTCAGCAGCCTAAGTATTTGCCTGGCAAGCACAAGGACCCAGGTTTGATCCCCAGTACTGCATGCCATTCTGGTCCTAGAACCCTGGGCATGCTGTGCCAGCCCCCAAACTGGGTGTGGTGCTGCACACTTTTAATCCCAGTGTTGGGGAGGCTGACACAGGAGGATCACTATGAGTCTGAACTGTGTAGTGAGACCCTGTACCAAATAAATAAATAAATACTTTTTAAAAATTAGTAGGTTGTCCAAGATGGGCTTGAATTTTAGATATTCCTACCTCAGCCTCCCAGAGTGCTGGGTTAAAGGTGTGTACCACCGTGCTGTTGGTTTTTTTTTTTTCAGTAGTACATATTTGCAATATATAGTAATTACAGTCACTGTATTAGCTATGTTTTTTTATTTATTTTTTTAATATTTATTTGTGTGTGTGTGTGTGTGTGTGTGCATGTGTGTGGCCAGCTCAGCCCACCAGGGGGCGGGGCGGGCTGGCATGTGGTGCTGGGGGATTGAACCGTGGTCCCTGTGCTTTGCTAAGCTTGTTCTAAGTAGGTGCTTTAGACCACTGAGCCATCTCACCAGCCCCTGTTTTTTTTATTTATAAGTAGCTTTATTGGGATGCAAATGGACACACACACATATGCATTTATATGTTAACATTTTTGCTGAGAGGGAATGAATATATTGTACAATTCAGCCATTTGAAGTAGATAATTCAGTTCCTCTTAGTAGCTGTGCAATTACCACCACAATCCAAGTAGCTTTACTCACCCTGGAAAGCAACTTTTTCCTCCGTAGCAATCACTCCCTCAGTCACCCCCATCTCTTCTGGCACTGAATTAAGACATGAGCTTCTACTCTGTTGTGACAGCTGCCTGTACTTGATCATGGCCTGGACCCTCCTAAGCTGCCAGACAAAGGCCCTTATCCTCAAAGTTCACTGTCCTAGCTATTTAATGACAGTGACCGTTGCTGATGAACTTACTTGTAGAAATGCCTGGCTTACACAGTGCTGTGACTCCAGGGCCTGCTGTCCCTGCTTGGGCATCTGTGGGAAGCTGGACAATGGAAGTGTGGCCCTGGGTTCTGCTTCTACCCATCCCCCAAATGTACACACAAATATTTATAACTTTACAAAAAGAAGCTGCCCTCCCACCCAGCCAAGCCACCCATTATGCCCTGCTGTGAAACATCCAGTGTCACAACTTCCCCTGAGCTTGTAATTAATTATTTTTGCAAACCTTATTTTGATTAATTAAATGTAATCAGAGGTCTGGTTTTCCAAGCCACTCGGTTCCTGCAGAGACCTCCCCGGTGGCCCGAGAACATGCAGGACTTCTTACCTGGAGGATGTCAGCAATTAGAGCCCAGCCAACATTGACCATTGCAGAGAACAGCAATTAGCTCAGTGGCCAAGTCGTGCTGAGCACTGTGGGTTACCAAGGGGACCTGTGGCCACTGCCAGGATTTAAGTAGTTCTTGTCTTCGGGGATCGTCTTTCCTGAATAGT